TTTTCAACCGCTGGATCAGTTCGTAATACGAATTCGCTAATTCGTATTTACGAATCAATCTAGTTCCAAAAACAGTGAACACGAATTCGTAAACTAATTTTACGAATTATTTGCGAATTGATCAGCACCGTGTTTGATCTATTGTCTGTTTACGAATTTGCAAGAAGAATTCGTAAAAGTTTTTAAGAGTATCCGTACGAATTCGAAACAGTTCCCATCAATCCGGTACGAATCCGCAAAATAAGGATAAAACGCGAATTGTTGCATCATTTTTACGCTTAAAAATTGCGATTCGTCAATTCGTCTTTAGACACTTTGTCCACACATCTCACAAAAAGTGGTAGTATAGAGATGGATGAAGAATTTTGATGGATACTGTAGCATAAACTTCGAAAAGTTTTGATCTCTTCAAACATATGAGAAGAAAATATTCCTTGTGGAATTTGTCTATGTAAATGTTTTAATCTTATTCTCTTTAAGTGAGGCCTGTTCTTTCATACAGTGAAGGTCTATACAGAAAACGGGAGATAAATTTACGAACCTAAACGATTAAGATTTTCTAGGCTTTAAAGGAAAAACTTAAAAACTTCTTAATTTTTTCAAGGAAGATCATGGAGAGCTGGGAGTGGTCTCATTTTATAGCCCAGACTTTCCTCTACATTAGACTATGTTCAGCTCAAAATGACAATTTTTCAGCAAAAAAGAGGGGGAGTACCCTTAATGAAATGAATGATATTTTGTAATTGATATTTGTAAATATCGACAAAAAATAATAAAACGTGATTTTTAACCAAGAGCACATATTTCTCTACGAAGATTAGTAAATCAATAAATTCATTAAAACAAACATCATTTGAAGCTAAATAAATACAATAGAAAATAGGCTACCGTTAATAAATAACGTTGTCATGCTATATATTTATCTCTGTATAGCAACTGAACGTGAATTATGTCACGAGGAAATTGACCGTCTGGAAAACATCGACTAATTGATCGATATATGGAAAACAACAACTAATTGATCAAACAGGAAACATCTGTTCGATCTACCATTAAATGAAGTACCGTCATACATCGATCATATATCACCAAAATTAGAGAAACTGGAAGAAGACACAGCATTCATAAGAATCACCAATGTCTTAGCTATTTTTACTCAAGATCCCAGTTATCTTTCGTTTATTTGAGATAGATAATTTAACAAAGGAAGAAAATACGGGCACCAGTAAAGTTGTTGGCCATTTCATTTCAATAATTGAAGAAATCAATCAGTTTCTGACATAGTATGATCATGAATTAGTGAATTATATAAATTAAATGGTGGTGTAAAATGTTTGAAAAGAGAAAATATCGATTAGTATCTGTTTAAGGCAGGTAATACTCAATTGTACCATTATTTATTATAATTTTTATTCTAAAAAATAAATAAATAAATAAAATATTCGACGACGATTATGGAGGGTTTTGATCTGAATGGATAACAACAATAAAAATAACAAAAGAAAGTTGCACAAAAAAATAGAAAGCAAATATTTTGTATGGAAAAAAAGCATTAATTTTCGTTATTTAGTCGAATGTCTGGACTTAGTAGAAAAATACATTTTGTTTCATTATTCGTAGTTTTCAATCGTTTATAACGTTCGTTCATTTTATCAATTAGTCTTTGTTTGGCTGTTTGTGACAATGCGTCAGTAACAGGTGTCGGTGCTATGAGTACGTTTTCAACTTCTGGTTTCAATATTTGTAGCTGAGATTCACTTGATACATGACGAAAAACAACAACGGGACTGCGATCATCCTTACTGGGTCTTGCTAGATGTTCGGCGACGGGAGTTGGTGTACGAGATCGACGAAGTACGGATGGTGACGGAGATTTTCCTCGAACAGGAAGGACAAGTGCTGTTTCAACAATTGCTTGTGATAATGTTGATATCGTTTCGTTTGACATTTGTTTCGCTAAATATAAACAGTAAAGTTGTATATCAGTAGATAAAAGAGTAAATCACATACCTCCTGTCGTTAATTTGCTAAAAGCAGCTGGTGTTCGTTTAGCAAAATTTGTTAATTTCATTCCAATATTTTTGATCTTGTCCATTGTAACCGGTACTTTGTTAACAGTGGGTGAAATTTCTGTTGCTGAAAAACTCATTCTCTTCTGAAATTGTTCAATCTCGTTTGGTAAACTATCGACTCTAAAAACAAAAAAGACAACTAATCTGATTTGAATAAACTGTAAATATGTGCTTGTCTAATAAAATAGTGGACTTGACTATTTTTTAAATAGCTCAACGACGAAACAGAGCAGAGACTTGCAGCTTTCAGTACTGAGTAGCCAAAGTTTTTGCAAGAGAAAAAGTTTTCAAAATCTTTAAACTAAATAGATTATCCAGGAGATCTGTGTAATAGAGATGTGCAATCCGACCCGTAAAACATCCGAAGGTTGGGTATAGGCAGTTGGCGAATACGGGTAGAGCAGTTACGGGTACGGGTTCTATTTTTTTTAATTTACTCGAAAATCGGAAGGTTTTAGTGAAAACCCACAAAATTTTAGTAAAACAATAGAGGAGTTTAGTTAAAATCCATGAAGGTTTAAAAAAGAGTTATTTGAGAACGTAATGATAGTTTAACATCTTCAGTCGAAAAACAAAAATTTTTAACTGGAAAACAAAACGGAGAAAATTTTTAGGCATAAACTATCCGCTTTAAAATGGAAGTCTAGTAAGACCTTGTTATTGCCTCATTTAACTGTGGTAACGGGTAGATGGGCTAGAGGTGTTTTAACATCACCCGAAATAGCCTCAGAAATACATGCAAACATAGGTTATCGATCAGGCTCAATCTTGTGACAATGTTTGTTTTCCAGAAAGACTACAAAAACTTAGTGACAATCTAGATTCTGTGAAATAACCCAGTTCTGGCTATTTTCGTGAGAAAATAAAGAATTGATCCAGAATTGATCCAGACTACTTCGGAATATAAAGATAAACTCCATTTTATCTATTGAATCTGATTCTGTATTCAAAAATGAGTAACAAGCATTCTCTTACTCAGGAACGTTTCTAGATAATCTTTTAAAAAACTAAATTGCTTTCCTTTGATTTTCGAAAGTCTTATTAAATTCCAAGATATTACTCATGTAAAATGGGGTTTATCGTTATGTTCTGAAGTAGTCTGGATCAGTGTTGGATAAATTCTTTATTTTCCCACGAAAATAGCCAGAACTGGGTTATTTCACAGAATCTAGATTGTCACTAAGTTTTTGTAGTCTTTCTGGAAAACAAACATTGTCACAAGATTGAGCCTGATCGATAACCTATGTTTGCATATATCTTTGAGATTATTTTGGGTGATGTTAAAACAATCCTGGCCAGTCTACCCGTTGCTACAGCTAAATGAGGCAATAACAAGGTCTCACTAGGCTTCCATTTTAAAGAGGACAGTTTAGACTATCTGCACATGTAAACAAATTATAATATATTTTTATTTGAAATTTTTCGACTAGGAACACATTTTCCAAAGATCTCCTGGAACAGCTATTTGGTTAAAAGATTTTGAAAACTTTTTCTTTTGCAAAAATTTTGACTATTCAGTAATGAAAGCCGCAAATCTGTCTCTTTCGTTTTTGAGCTATTTAACAAATAATCGAGTCCACTATTTTATTTGACACACAGTAGTATCACATACTTGTCTAATGTTTTATTGAGTACATTGAGTGTTTTTTTAGCAAAAAAGTTTGTTATTGATGTTATCATTTGAGCAATCGTTTTGATATAATCTAAGATATTTATACAACAGGAATAAAATCAGAGATAAAGTTGGATAGAAAGGTTGTTTTACCATTAATTTCGTCAGTATTATTTACAATTAAAACAGATGTATTAAATACTTGTACGTATGTACCACGAAATGCGTGATAATAACCACCCGAATGATTATCTTTTAAATAATGGATACGTAATGTAAATGAAGTGACATTCGGCGAGAAACGAATATCCCGTCCTGCAATACAAAAATACGATTATAATGAATACCCCTAATTGTCATGTATTTTCTATTCTATACACTATTTAGCGAACTAATGCACTGAAGAATTTTACGTATCGGAACTTGGTAGCATCAGTGCGTTATCTGTGAAAAACGGATTTTATCGAGCAGTGTCCACATATTAACCAGTAGAAAACGGACTAATGTACGAAAAACCGAGACTGCTTGATGATGGATATAGTGCCACACGAAATTGTTTGCTTACCTTAGTTTTCGATTTTTGTTGTCGATCATAGTGGCTAGAACAAATCTGAGAAATGATTTGATTTGTCAAATTGGTGTAGTGCGGATAAAAGATTCCAATAGAACTGTTTGTAATCGGGTTCTTTGAGCAACCCAAAACCCTGGAAAACTAAGTATTCAACTGAGAAATAACTCCATCGTATAGAGTAAACATTTCTGAACAAAATACGACGTCTTTGAGCTTCCCACAATTGCTTTTCATCAAACTCTAACTAACTGACGAAAAGTAAAAACCAGTTAAGTTTTCTGTTAAATTTGTTTGCATTGACAATTTAAGACTTTTCGTCAGTTAGTTAGAGTTTGATGAAAAGCAATTGTGGGAAGCTCAAAGACGTCGTATTTTGTTCAGAAATGTTTACTCTATACGATGGAGTTATTTCTCAGTTGAATACTTAGTTTTCCAGAGTTTAGGGTTGTTCACAGAATGAGATTACAAATAGATCTGTTGGATTCTTTTATACGCACCACACCAATTTGACAAATCAAATCATTCTGCTATGATCGACAACAAAAATCGAAAACAATTTCGTTTGGTAATGTATATATGATCGTTCAAGCACTATTCATTATAGAACATCTTGTCAGAACAACCTCGATTGACGCTAAAATGTGAAAGTCCTCTGAGAAGTGGACACTGAATCGGTACTGTTAACTTCTGGTTATTCTCAGCTATAAATGTAAGATAATAAGATAATTGCTAGACAGAACATTTAGAATCATTACCAAGGACAGTTTAAGATCATTGCCAGGAGAAGAGGAGACGGTGGGTACAAAATGAGCGAAAACCCTAGATGTTTGACTCCTTCCTTCGGAAACTATTGGGCAAAAGTCTACAAAAAAATAGACTTACCAACTTCTACTCTTTCAATACTTTCTAATGGTGTTTCTTTGAAAGTTACAACTTTTTGGAATGTTTCATCATAACTATCAAAGACAAAATATTTGCATAATGCATATCAAACACAGTAGTGTCTGACATACCATACAATAAAATAACGTAATGATGTTAGAACAAGTACAGAATCTGGTTCAGTTTGTTCGATGGATCCACTAAATGGAAAAAAATTAAAATTTTCCATATTTTAAAACCTTATTGTTTCCTTACCCATTATCACTGTCATCGATTAATAACCATGTACCAAAACAATCTTCCGTTTCTGGTACAAACATTTTTCGACAATCAAGCATCAGCTGACGAAACGTTTCTTCACTAACATTCTTTGCTAACTAAAATAGAAAATATATCATTTTCTCAAACAACACGTTTGATAGTTCGTTGAGAAATAAACAGGTTATCGTACTTGTGTTTCCTCATTGATAGTTTTTTCTTCATCAATCATATTATCAATCAGTGTATTTGAGGATGATAATTCAGTTTCAACTAGATCTAATTGTCTATTGGAATTTGGTGATATCATTAGTGGTTTTGGTGCTTGGACATTTTGCATGGCATCGTAACATTTTTGACGCACGGTATCTTTTTTGAAACGACGATAATATCTGATGAAAATTCAATACATCGATTACGCCTATAGCAAAAAGGATACTAAATTGTAGATGTACCTACCTGTTCGCTGATATTTTGCCATCTTGAAATACGCCTTTGAAATCACGACGACCTGTACGAGTGAAATCGCCCTGGAATGAAAACAGCAAAACAGACATGAAATTTTATAAATTTGTGTAACTGTATGTAAAAAGATTGTCATTTGAAGATTAAAAATGAGATTATGAATAGTATTTCAACGTGCGTAAAGCGAATTGTAGTGCATGAAAATTGAAACACATAGTCAAAATTTGGTGGAAAAACTTAGCTGCTGAGATAGATAAAGCGTTATTATAAAAACTAGAAATGCTCATTAAAATAAGCTATACATATTCTAAAACTAGACATTTCGGTCTACCAATTCATACAAATTTTTTAGTTTTAACAAAGTAAATAACAAAGTAAAAAAAAGTATGTAAAATCGGAAAAAATTGCTTGTCTATGTTTGCTAGATGTTTTCGTAAAAGAATACATTCAGTAATATTAGTTTACAAATTTTTCTGAAGCTTTAAATTTGATGAAACTATAGTAAAATGTTCTTTTATTTATGCTACGTCTACACTGTTAACGCAAAATAGCGCAAGTTATCCTGGACTGAGCTATTGGGTTTCCAAAAAACTCTTGGTTTTTTAGATAAAATCTACTTATCTCGGTCTAGCAATACTTTTATTAAAACTAATACCATATTCAGAATCAGCGCATAAACTGCCTCAAATGATGTGCGATTTCTAAGTTTTTCTGAGAAAAAAATTGTTCAATACAACGGAATGCTAGAGTTAAAGCACTAGCATGGCAATTTTGGCTAAGCTTTTGAATATTTGTTTTAGAAGCAATGCAAAAGCCTATGAACACTCTTTTTATAGGTTTTCCGATGTGCGCTTTTCAATCGTGCGATTTATAAAAGTTCAGAAACGCTTTTTATCTGGGTTTCCAGAGACTCGGATCTCTGAAAATCCATATATAAGTATTTTTGAACTTTGTAAATTGAACGATTGAAAAGCGCACATCGGAAAACCTATAAAAAGAGTGTTTATAAGCTTTTGAACTGCTTCTAACACAAATATTCAAAAGTCTAGCCAAATTTGTTCACTGTGTGGAGTATAATAACCTCTTTAAGATGAATACATTGATTTTTGAAAAATGGTTTTGACTTCTTCGAATTTTATTTGTAAAAATGAACGGATATTACTTTCATGGCATCAGTTCCGGCATATTGTCGACTAATTGCATCACCATTATCCGCCCATAATGTTTGAAATAATGTTCGTGTATGTTCTTCAAGACCTCGATCAATTTCAACATCGCACAAAGCAATTTTACGTAACTAGACAATAGAGTAGAATACAAACAAATTTTTTCGTTCCTTTTTAGCCTACCATGATTTCAATAATTGTTTTGGATATAGCTGCTTGTACAACGTTTGTTCGATCGAGACAGTCAACACAATTGATACGAAATATACTACTTTGTTCACTCACCATCTCATTTTTAGTTATCCTGAAATGGATTAACGTATAACAATCAGTTAAACAATTTAAATAAAGAAAAAAAATAAAAGATGTTCAATTCACATCACTCTTAGACAAAAAGCGTTTTATATTATTACGATTAATGGGCAATAATTTCAAAAAAAAAACCACGATAACAGCAGCGTTTTTTAACTTCATTAAAGTATTTTATTTAATCATAAACCATTTTCGACGTTTCAAACTATACAAAGTTCATTTTCAAGAATAAAAACACGTTGTACGTAACTTATGAAAACGAAAATGTTATTCATTTAGCGCAAGTGAGAAATATATAGATATACAGTATCGATAGACGACGGAGAAACAAGGAGAGAGAATAAAAATAAAGCTATTCAACCATTTGTTGTGGCTTTTTGTTGTTCAGAGCTTTGAATACTTTTATGCAAGGCTAATGGGAATTCGTACTGCTTACCATCATTGGGATGACAAACCGTTAGATGAATTAACTGTGCACAGCTTGAGCTCTGAACAACTGCAAGCAGCTGGTAAATTGCGATCTTATGTTGATAGTTTTCGCACGAGTGCTAAACGAGAATTGACATCGGTACTTTAATGAAGTTAAAAAACGCTGCTGTTATCGTGCTTTTTATTTTAAAAAGCGTTTTCCTCGCATGATCGAATGAAGCCATAATAAAATGTAGTTATATAATCAAAATCGTTCTACAAATCTCTTAAAACTTGAACGATGCTAAATTTCTAAAAATTCCTATCTTACCAACAGAATTTCATTTCTCTAAGAATATTTTTTTCTTCTAATAAATCTAATAATGTAATAACATTGTCAAAACGTAATCCTTTACTAAAACCAAAGAGAGCATATAATTCTGTTGTAGTCTAACCCTAGTATTAATACATACCAGTATTCATGAAAATCAAATGTTATATACGTTAAATTTTTATCATTTAGATCAAAAACATGGTTAAAATAAGCATCGCTCAAAATAGATTCTTTGTTCATTTCTTCAACAAGACTAATGGATATTAGCTTTCCATATTCCAGTGCTTCACGCGTGATATGTTTAATAAATGCTTGATGTGATTCATCGTAAGCTAGAAGAAAAACAGCAAACAAAATGATGGATGACAGTGTACTGCAAATATATCTCAAAGTTTTCTTATTATTTCTTAACTTTTCTAATATAGAGTATGAGAACAATCATAACAATGCTAATAATTCTGTTGTTTGTGAACAGCGTTTGTAACTAACTTCAACATCATAACAAAAATCTAAGATACCATGCGTCATGAATTCAAATAGCAGACCTTTTTTTTCTTAGCACTCGAAGCACTTTTCGGAATTTGCTTAACTCTTATCAGGCCTCTTGTACACTATTGTACAAGGCGGCTTGGCCAAAAGTCTCGTAATTTCATTTTTTTGACTTTATTAACGTCGTTCTCGACCTGGTAGGACTGTAGGCACTTGAAATTTTTACCATAAGTTGATAGCCATGCGTTCTATCACCGGTAAAAGTTTCGTTCCATTTGAACGCGCCATTCAAGAGTTATAAAAAATATCGTTGGTCTCGGAATTTCAGAAAATGACAGTTGTCATCGATAGGGCAACAAAGTTCTGCATTTTTCTTCGAAAGTAAGATAGCTGCAGGAAAACTTTCTTGACAAAAGTTGTAGAGCTTGAAACGAGCTTTCAGAATATCTACTTATTTTTTGGAAACAGATCGATCAGCTTTATAAATAGTCGTGATCTCGAAATTTCACCCTTTTCTGCTCTTCTTTTGCATATTCTGGTTTCGTATATATTTTCTTTGTCACAGAACTATGTACCAAGCTCTAATTTGCACATAGATAGATAGTTTGAGGTGCCCTATATCCGATGCAGCCAAAAATAAAGTTCCAGAATTAGATTAAATGAGTAAAAAATTGTTCACAAAACAAGCGCCGAAACTCTTTTTTAGAAAATAAAAAAAAAAGTTGGCATCCAAACATGAAATAAAATGAGGCATTTTGTAGAGAATTCGATTCTCTATCCGATGGTATAGTTTGTAGAATTTTTGAAAAGAGTCAGAAAATTAAATTTAAAATTTAAAAGTTTTAAATTTAATTTTTCACTCTAAAAATTTAACTTTAATTTACTTTTGAGTTCAGATTTGTAATCAACGTAAAAAACTGCGTCTAATGATATATTTTAAGCTTTGTTCGAGTGAAAATAAAAATTCGAACCTTCTGATCCGAGGAGTGACCGCTACGTGGCCAAGTCGAAGAGTAAAAAATTTGAAATGCTCACATCACTATAGTAAACTGTATGAAAAATAAAAACTTGATTGACATCCTTTCTATATCCAAATTAAACCTGAAGAAGAGTAGAAAATTATTTATTTAGTTACAGCATTTTCTCTCTCTCTCTCCCACTCTCTTTCCAAGTAATTCAAAAGATTGGATAATATTGTGATTATCCTATTAAAAAATCACCAAAAATAACTAAAAATAACATAGCTAAAAAAGGTTATCAGCGCAGACCTGGGGTCTAAAAGTGTAACTCTTCTATTTTAAACGTGATGGATTAAAAGTAGAGTTGGATAAAATCTATACCCCGAGTGTGTACGTTTACGCTAATTAATTTTTCTACGTAAGATGTATGGGTGAGTACTTGTTCATTATTTCATTTGCAACATCAAAAGTTGTTGAAGGTGGAATTACAGAGATCTTGAAACATCGACAAAATAAAATGAATATTTAGCTAGTCTGCGTTAGCTTGTCCGTGTATACAATGTATAGTCAGTATTGTCCATGGGTTTGCGTACGTCCACAAACGTTAGAAGAAGGAGGGTATGGGTGGGTACCATTTTCAGATCTTCAGCAATTTCCCCCTTTACAAACTTTCATTTCCTCTTTCCGAGGAATTCAGAGGAGGAGTTACTTGATTTTTTCTTATTGTTTTTAATTATATTTGCTGCTATTTTAAAACAAATCGAACGATGATCAAGATAGAATTCGATCCAATTATCTTCTTTTTAGAAGTTCGATATTCAACTTGATAAACGCTCCAATTTTCCTTGAGGATATCATAAAGCCTTGGATTAGCGAGTATTACACACGCACAACACGGATATTTATAAATACACGAATAGCGTACTCAGTAAATGGACATTATATAACGAGCACCTCTGGAATTCGAGGCATAATAATAACAAGGAAGAAGAAGAAATAATAGATTATTGAAAAATGAATATTTTTATTTATCAGTTACAAGTTAAATCATACTATATGTATTAGTTATATAGTAATAGATAATAATTCTGACAACAATCATTCTCGTTCTGAATAATCTTACTCAAGTCTTCCAATATTAGCCTGTTTCATTATGAAAATATGAGTTTTTCTGTTTATTCTAAGGATTATTACTAGTTATGGATAAACTAATACACACTGTGAAATTTTGTTTTTCTATATTTGAGCGTTTAGAGTGACATCTTGCTGGATGTTCATGAGTATTTAGAGAGAATGTTTGTGTATTCGGGGGTGTTATTGAATTGAGCGCATCGAACTCTCTCACTAATTATACATTTTTCGTTTAGTTTAGAAATGTTCGCATATTTTATGAATAAATCCATTTTTGTAACTTTTCCACAACGTTGAGAAAATCTGAGTTGCACATCATCAAAAAACTTTTATAATTTCATCTTCAAAGGTGATCTCTTATTTTCATATCAGATGTCATCCTGACGTGTCTAAAGAAAAAACAAATATATTGATTTCTCAATGGATGACTCAATTTAACACAATTGGAAGAAAAAACATTGATTTTGGTTTTTAATTCCACTTTAAACGAATCTCTTTCCTCTTTTGGAACTGTGAACAAAATTTCTTCTACTCCTAAAGTAAAAGTGATCGACTTTTGTTTTTTCGTAGTATACGTAAAAGTCTTCTGCGCATCTTTTCACACCACATCGATTCCTGTAGCTATCACCTGTCAACAGATTTTCAAAAATTTTTATTTTTATTCTGACGACGGTACGATTCCTCTAAGATTTTATCTGATCAAGTTCAAATTTTTCTCACACATACTTAAGACCATAGCTGAGTGGTATTTTTTTTGTCTTCGAAAAATACTGCTTCGTTCAAAACTATAAAAAATTTGAACTTTATCGGGTAGAAGATTTGTTGCGTGGTCGGGTTGAGACAAGTAGAAGAAAAATGAGTTTTGCACCAGGAACATTGAAATGCAAAGTTACACTTTTTTCAGAGCTTTCAACAAAATAACTCTATCAGGAAACACGATGAAGAATTGGGAGATATCTCGTTTTACACAGAACTCTTTATTCCACAAGACCCGTTATTTGAAAAAATGTTCAAACGCTCGAATGAAGCAAAAAAACGTTCTCGATAGTTAAAAAATAGAGTTTATGTTTTAATTGAGTGAAAAACATGAAAAAATTCGTATCTATTCGCAGAGAGTTAGAAGTGATCTTATTGCGTAGAGGACAAGTCACTGTATCATACCACTGTGGTATGTTTCACTGAAAAATGAAAAGTTTTTCTAAAATGAGAGCAGTGTATTCTTGAAGGCAAGAACATGTGATTATAAAAGTTTGAGATATTATGAACTGTTTCCAATTGACTTTGTTAATTTTGTTTTATCAAAATTTCTTATTTTTTAACAAAATCATTCCACCTAAAACTATTTATAATGAATAAATAAGAGAAAATGACGAAATTTATTTAAATTAATCATCTTATTGGATTCAATGGTTTAACACTGATGTAAAACAATAATATTTTTCTTTACGAACACATGAAACGCCGTTTCTTTTAAATAAATGTAAGACATACACGCATAGGCAATCGAAATAAATAAATATAAATTTAAAATATTATATCAACAATCTGAAAATTAGCCAATTTTCAAAATATTTTTTTATTTTATTTGAATATGATCAATCAGTCAATAGATTCACGTTATCTTTAAACTATGAGAGTAATCAAAAATACATTTTTCTTCTTCTCAATCAAATTTTATTAAATTTAAAAATATTTTTGTATCTTCAATTTTAACAATAATAAATATTCAAAATGAAGATAAATTATAGTTGAATTGAGAATTCTGTTTCTTTTATTCGATTTATATTCATTCAAAAATACGTGTAACAATTGAGAAAAAATAATTAATTATGTAATACATAATAAAAAAATCTTCTGAGAAAGTTTATGCCAATTTATACTCAATTATGCATTTTTTATATGATAAATTCATAGAATTATGTTAATCAAAGATTGTACGGCATATTTCTAGCATCATCAAACGCATTTGATTTTTTTTCCGTAATTTATTATTACACACGATACTTTTCTAGGCCAATAAAATATTTTTCTATCTCGGCTATTTTAATCTTTATGTTTTTGGGTTATTTTCTTACAAAAGAAGTATTTGAACGATAACTATTAGAAATGTATTTCAAGTATAATAAAATACAAGTATAGAAAGATTAATGAGAACGAACATAAATAATGTTGTTAATTGGCTATGAAAAATTGATCTCAAAATTTTTCTATCAATTAAAGAAAAAATACAAAGAAAAAAAACCAAAAAAAAAGGTGTTTTCTGTTCACGACATGCAATTATATTTCTTCTACATCTACATGATTATACTATAATAGTCTACTCAATAGTAGTGTAAGTTAGTTATGTTATAGATAAAGAAGAAAAAGAAGAGAAAAATAAGAAAAGAAAACTTATGAAGATGTTAAACTTTTCTTTTATTGTAAACAATAGAGAATAGTTCCGATTTAGCTTTTCTTCTCGCTCTTGTTCGATTTACTATATGTTTTCTTCACATTTCTTTCTCCTTTTTCTCTTCCATTCTATTAAATCCACTTATTATTTACAGTTTATAGATATGAGAGAGAGAGAGAAAGAGTAAGAGAGAAAGAGAGAGAAAATAATATATTAACACGAATTCACTATTGAGTGATAAGATGATTATTATTAGTATAGATATATTTATTTCTTTAGTTGAAACAATAACTGTCTCTTTTCGGTCAATAAGTAACTAGGCATTTAATGAAAAATATACAGTCTGTCTGTCAAAATATGGTAAGTATAGAGAGAAAACAACCAAAATGAAATCTAGTGGAATGGAATAATTATTATGTATATAAATATTTTTCTTATTTAAAAAGAAGATATTTATTTGAGCATACAAAGAACATATTTCATAAAATGTTCTTTGTTACCTTTTAAGAGTGTACTAATTAAAGTCTGCTAATGTTGCTTAATAGAGATCAATGCCTTGTATTAAATGTTTTAGTAAAGAAATTGATAAACTATAGTATTTTTTGACTTATTTCAAATTCTCTCGCTCTCTCTCTTTCTCCATTTTTTTTATTCATTGTCCATAACTCACATTTCTACGGTAAGTTCATAATGTCATACACAAAATTTTAGCTATAGCAGAATAGGCATGCACCGAGTAATTGACTAAGAATTTTATACTTTTTTCCAAAATCTGGCGTTTCGTAAATTATTTCATTACAACTTTTCTGACTCGATAAGAATGTAGAACAAACATTTCTCTAAAAAATGAGAAGTTAGACAGCTCTATATAATTTGTTTTGAGTTTTTGGCAGCGATACTTCAAGAACACATAATCGAGTAGTAAACGGGTATCCAGTACTCGATTAATCCCTTATGGAGGTATCGCTGCCAAAATCTCAAAACAAATTATATAGAGCTGTCTAATCTCTCATTTTTTAGAGAAATGTTTGTTCTACATTCTTATCGAGTCAGAAAATTTTTAATGAAATAATTTACGAAACGCCAGATTTTGGAGAAAAAAGTATAAAATCCTTAGTCAATTACTCGGTGCATGCCTATACCAGCGACATTTTCGATTAAGAAAAGGAAATGTTAATTTATTAGTTTAAAAGCAAAATGGATGTCTAATAATCTTCAAAGAAGATGAGACGGATGTTGAAACTAATTAACTATAGATTGTTTCAATTTCATCATCAGTGTACTTGTGTTTTTTAGAGTTCATTTTACTTATAAAAATGTATTTTTTACAATCACACTCGTTCAGTTATAGAACAGCTTAAATTCATGGAAGTTTTGATTCATCCTTACATATCACACACGTGTAATCCTCAAGACTGCCATTCTCTCTCACTTTTCTTTCAAACATAAATGAATAATTGATACAACACATAGCTTGAAGTAGGACAAAAAGGAAAAAGAGTCTTGACGATTTAAAGCGTAATGAGGACCAGTTCAAAATTTTCAAAAAGTCTTAAAACTTCTTTATAACTAAATACAAACAATTGTAAAACAAATTCGAGTTTAAAAATTCAAATTATTCTTATTTCTTTTTACAATTCATTTCAGTTTCTTTTTTTTCCAAACTCTCATTTTCACACTACAAAGACAATAGACAAACAAATTGTCGTTTCTGTGCAGTTAAAATCAAATAAAAAAGAAAACTAAACTTTATTCAAGACACACTAATTATTTTCTATATATATATATATATATTTTTCAAACATACACATGTTTTCTTATAAAAAATTTATCTAAATCAACTAATTACTTTTATATGTTTAAAAGAGTATAGGATATTTTTGCAGGTATTTATGATATGAACAATTTGACAATATTAAATTAGACATGCACTGCGACTCCTTGACTAAGGATTTTATATCTTTTAGAATAAGTTAAAATTATTTTCAAAATGTTAGTTGTTAACCTTGGTCAAATAATTTTGATTTATTCCAAAAGACTCAATGTTGCAAGTCCATGATTAAATGATTGTACTTCAATTGTATCATCTAATATCTTTTGTCATATATATATATATATACATATATTTTATTCTAGTCTCTCTAATATAATTATCATTTAATTTTAGACATTATAATGAGTTATATAAAACCGAAAATGTTATTTATTAAACAAGATTTTATACCTGGTCCACCATTATTAAAAAATGTTTACATTAATAGTGATATAACAAATACGATTCGTTCATCGTATACATTTTCAAATGAACGTTTTAAATCATCTGATTTTTTATTATTTACATCAAATCATACATTTTTTTCATCATTATCAATTGATTATGAAACAACTACAATTAATATAACAGATAATTCATCAATTATTATTCCTTCATCATCTTCATCATCCGTATTTATTCCTACATTAATCGGTATTATTTTATTTACAATTACAATTTGGACAATTATTGG